AAATCTCAAGATCGACTTTTTGGGTGGACGCTGCCTTTGATACGCTGTGCGTACGGTACGTAGATGGGCGACCAATCAGCTGCGCATGTAATGCCGGCCAGTCGCGCGCAAAATGCCAGAATTACAGGCGTAACAAGGCGTTGTTCACGCGCAAATTTGTCGCCCCGTCTTGAATGCAAGCACACTGTAAAAATCTATACTGTATGTCACTACACATATTAGAATTACTAGACATAGCATTTGAAAACGACTGAACCACAAGCAAATGATAGTGTGGATACAAGCGCGAGAAAGCGCTTCTCCGATTTCGGAAACTTTCAATTAAGCATTTCGGACTCGAAACTGTGACGCATCTGCACGACATGACTCGGGAATTGACGTACCCTATACTGCTAATATATTCAGAAACTAACCATGTATGTAATTTTTCACTTTTTCCAGATGTTGTCTTGAGATACTTGCGCCAACTTTGGTTTTTTCGTCAAGTGGATCACCAACGCGCATGGCAGCTGTCTTCTCACGTAGCTTCGCGACGAATTCATCGACTAACTTTCGTTGTACCAGCACCTACGATGCAAGCAATGCACCAGAAATGGTCAATTTAGGACAACTACCACCATCCCAGACATCAATCGCTTACTCTGGACAACTGACACAACAAGCTAAGTCGACATCACACTTGCTACGCACATGTTTTATAGGCTAGTAAAACTCACAGTTAATATAGCGCCCTTGTGGAGCCGACACTTGCCGCAGTGCGCTCGAACAGATTGCTCGGAAACGCAAAATTTGAAAATTTGCGCTCTGCGGCCATTGTGCGCGCGCAAACTGCCGGCGATACAGCGGTAATATTTCACGCGCAAATGTTGCTGGCAAATGTCGACACCGCATAGACACCACATTAACTGTCATTTCTATTAGCCCATATGTTATGATGCGAATACGCACCAAAATCTAACACATACCTTGCTAGCATTGCTGCACACTTGCCCTTGACTGAAAAAATTGGCCATCATTGCACCAGAAACAGCTGAATCAACATCTGCGTCCTCAAAAATGATCAGCGAAGCTTTTCCGCCCAACTCCAATGTCACCGGTTTCACATTCACAGCTGCACAATTCTATAATGAGGAAAATTGTGGTACTCCATTTTAGTTATCCAACAAAATTTTAAAATCCGCCAAAACTTCCAGCGCATTATTTGTCATGCTTGTCACGTATAACACACTGATTTCGATGACGCGTATTTTGGATTACGGTAAGTAAAGGTAGGTGGTCAAATCTCGAATTTGATCAAAACTCTGTCTCCAAGGAAAAGAGATCCACTAACATGCTATTTATAATTACAGGCTGTCTCAATGTGATGTCACGACTCTAACGATTCGTGCTCTCGCGACCGTCTCGCTCGGGCCTTGCGTCGCGTGAGAGAATGCCCCGCGGCCATGTACGCAGCTTGACGCAAGGCCTGATCGAGGCGGCCGTGAAGACCCGAGCCGATAGAGCTGTGACACTAATGTTGAAACAGGCTGCATGGTTTTGCGTTAAAAAATCATTTTACTACAGTGTGAGATCCCACATATCCAGAAAACCTCATTCCTGGCATCAATCATAACTGAAAATTATC